GAAGAGGAGGAGGAGGAGGAGGAGGAGGAGGAGGAGGAGGAGGGGGAGGAGGAGGAGGAGGGGGGGAGGAGACGGGGGGGCACACGAGCAGACCACTGCACCGACATCAGCTGTCCGAGGTCCGTGCGGCCTCGTTGGGTCGGCTCTGGACCGCCCCTCGACTCTGGCGCGCGAAGCGCACCAGGGGCAGCGGGGTGCAACCCAACGCCTGATGCACACCAGCACGGGCAAAACAACTTCTTGTGCCTCCTCCTCCTCCTCCTCCTGCTCCTCCTCCTACTCCTCCTCCTCCTCCTCCTCGCCCTTCCTACATCCTCCCGCCCAGGGGGCCCGAAATGACCGAAAACTGTCAGGCACCCTGAGCATTCCAATCCTCGCACGCATCCGGGTCGCGCCGCTTGCCACCGAGACGTGGACCCGTGCGGTCGCTGCCACGTTGGGATCACTGGTCATCCTCCTCCCTGCTTCTCGATCCGATGCTGCCGCCTGCTCGGCGGGCCTTCTCCTGCCACATCGCGCCGCTGTCCGTGCGGAGCCCACATCCAGCATCGCATCTGCGTCGGGCCCGCTAGGTCACATCGACCCCAAACGAGAGAACGCCATGTTCATCCGGGCGAACGGGGGTGTTTTGAGCAGGGACCGACCGTCCCAGCATTTCTATAGGCCTACGACGACATGTTCTTAGAACCCAAGAATGTAGGAATAACAAGACACAATGTGCTTAGAACAGAAGCCCCATGTGTTAGAACGAATCAGGCCCAGCCAGAAGTGCCCTAAGGGCATTTCGCAGGAACCACAAAGGGTTCTCAGACCATGGTTGGGTGTAGGCCTACAGGCATGCCAGGACCTTGTGGGCCCCGGAAACTGCAGGGCCGCTTTTTCACCGTTTCCACAAACATGTCCCTTCAAAATGGAAACGGCAAACAAACGGCGAATGGAAACGGCAAAAAAACGGCTCCAGGATTGGAACCGGAGCCGGAACCGGTCCAAAAACGGCGACGGAACTGGTAAAAAACGGCGTCGGAACCGGTAACAAAACGGCAAAACGGAACCGGTAAAAAAACGGCCCTGTCGTTTCCAGGGCCCACTAAGGCCAGGACGCTTCGCCACTGTTTGAGTGCTGGGGGTGGCACGGGCGGGGGGGGTAGCGAATCAGCTCGCGCAGACGCGCCCCGCGGCGCCAGAAGCGTGCCAGTGTATCAAGAGTGGCGCCCGGCGGCGGGGCTGCAGTTAGCTGCGCGAATCAGCTTTCGTAGCCCCCGCTGTCCACATATTTATGTCTCTCTCTATACATATGTATATGTATATTTGTATACATACATATATATATATATATATATTATACATATATATATATATATACATATATATATATGTATGTGCATATGTATGTATACACATATATGTGTGTATACAGATCGATCGAAATATAGGAACATGTATACATGTATATGTATGTATAAATACGTATACTTATACATATATATACATGTATAAATACATATACATATACATATACACATGCAGACACCTACACATACACATATACCTATACATATACATATACATATACATATACATATACATACAATTTTACATATACATGTACATATATACATATACACATATATATACATACATATCGGTATACGTATACATATACATATACATATACGTATACATATACCTATACAATACATCTACATATACATATACATATACATATGCATATTCCCCGCCTCCGTCCGCGCCGACACCTGCAGGGCATAGTGCGAAGGCGCTCCCATGCTCCCCCCTCTGCTCCCTGCTCCTCCTCCCCCCACCCCCACCGCCTGTGCCTCGTCCCTCCTCTCGCCGTCGCTCGGACGACCATTCCCCGTGCATTCGTTGCTTTCGTGCGTGTTGTCTGTGCTCGATGCACTGGGATGCTCCTCGATGGTCCCTGCCGAGAACAATGCGCACGTCCGAGCGATGCCAAATCCGTAGAAGAAGGGAGAACGCCATAAACATAAACTTTTGGCGAACCGCGCCGATTTCTTGGATCTGCGCTGGAAACCCCTCGCTGGCGCGCGGAGCGCGCCAAGGGCGGCGCCGAAGGCGCCGCCGGGGGTGCCCAGCGCGGATCCGAGGAATCCGCGCGGAGCACCAAACGTTTATGTCTGAGGCGTTTTCTGGGCGTTGGCACAACTAGGTTTAGTGGAACCTGGTTTAGTGATTTGTACCGGGGGCGCCCCCCCCGTCCCATGTCCACTGCCGTCACTCGAACAACACCAGTTACGGCAAACCTGGTTTCGTGAATCTGGCCAACTGAGGGGCCCCAGGGCCCTACCACTAACCGGGTCGCCGTACCCAGGGTCCTGGCTATACCCGATTTCTGTTTCTACGAGTCATGTCTCCCCCCACCTGCCCCTTCCCACCTGCCCGCCCGCTCGCATCGTCAAAGCGCGGCCCTGGTCTCTCGCAGAGCGCGTTCGCCGTCGCCTGCTTGCCCCTCCCCCCTTTATCCTTCCCGTCGGCCGCGCAGCGCGGGCCGACGGGAGCTCCTGCTGAGGAGGAGGAGGAGGAGGAGGAGGAGGAGGAGGAGGAGGAGGAGGAGGAGCAGCAGGGCACAGGGGGGAGCGGCGACGGCGCACCCAGATGGGTTCCGTGGTCTGCGTCCTCCTGCTGGCGACCTCGGAGCCACTCTGCTTGACCCAAGAGAGGGGGGATGCAATAGATGCCATAGGGGGTGATGGAGATAGATGTGAGGACATTGTTTTGCAGATGTATGGCGCTGGAAAAGTACAGCGCGGTGTATTGCAACAGATAGCTTGCATGCGAAGATCTAGCAATACATTTGCGCACCAGAATGTACTGAACGCTCCCAATCTATTGCCACACCACAGAAATATTTGACCAATTTGTGTGCACCACCTTCCTTTCGCTGGACCCCCTTTTGGGTCAGCCAAAACCACGGCTTCCCGAAGCTGCAGCGTAGCCCCCGAAGCACTCAGACGTTGTGCTTGTTTCGCAACGTGGACCTCAGAAATCTGCAGTCCTTCGCGGGCAAAATGTACAGCCTGAGTCGTTTTCGAATGGTCCCCAGGCCCGGTGGAAGGGCCCCGAACGTTGCGCAAAACCTTCCGCCGTGCTTGTATTTGTCCTCAGCGAGGGAAGGTAGCCGGGTCTCTCCAGCGAGTACGCGTCCAGGAGCTCCAGCTCGTACCCCCTGGCGCGCAGCAGCGGGATCAGCGGGCCCAGGCCGCGCTCTACGGCGAGGTCCTGTCGGCCGCTCGGGCGGGGCTTCGTTTGCTTCTTGCCCGCCCCTGTGATGCACGCTCGCCCGCGCGGGCCAGCCACTGAAGGGTCACAACGTCGGGAAACTCTTAAGACCCAAATGCCGTGCCCGGGTGAACTGTCCCGACGCGCCTGTGGCAACACGCGGCTCGGACTTGAGCCAAAGTAGCCACGGCAGGGAGACGAGGTCCAGTTCGGGCCTGCTCGGGACGTCACTTCGCTGGACCTCCCAGGGCAGTATGTCAGTGGCGGCAGTTGCAAGGCAGCAGCGACGCTGGCGCAATTGGCAACACCCATGGAGGTGAGGTTCCTTCTGGGTGCGGCAAGTTCGCGTCATGTCGACCCCGGCGTGGGTCCCTGACGTCGCGGGAAGCGTTCAACCTCGAATGATCGGCCGTTCCCCAAACGTCCGATCGTTCAACATCGACCGATTGAGGGCTGCCCCCGCCATTCAACGTTGAACGCAGGCGGCGAAGTCGCCGCCAGTCGACACGACGCAAACTTACCGTGTGCGTGAGACGCCCCTCCGCAAGATCTCGCAGGACCTTACCAGAGCAGCGACAGTAGCTGCGTTGGCAGCATCAACCAAGGGAAGCGAGGTCCCGTTTGGGTACATTCACAGGGCGTCGCTCAACTAGTGACCTCCCAGGAGCTCACGAAGCGGCGATGGTTGCGCAGCTGGCACCACGCAAGGAAGACGAGGAAAAAGAAAAGCAGCGACGCAGAGAAAAGGAGTCGAAGAGACGTCAGACTCGGGTACGGGGGACTCGGGATGGCCTGACGGGGCCACTATAAAGAAGACGAGACCCAATCTTAAATTTGACGAGCCCCCGCTGCAAACATCCCACGACAACTGGACCGTCGAAGTCCACGACGCGCTCGTCGAAAAACGTCGGCAGACCCGAGTTCTGGCTCACTCGAGTCCTACGCTTCCCCGAAAAAGGTGACGCGGCAGCGGAAGCGAGGACGTGGCAGGCGGACGATGACGAAGACCTTCAGAGCGCCATCCAGGACGCATGCCCAGCACAGCAGGGTGCCCGTGAGACCCTCGCGTTGCAATGTTTGTTGACAGCGGGCGTTCTCGTTCAATCTCGGGCCCCGGGGCCCGCACAGATAATTTGATCGGGCTCGCAAAACGGCGCAGAAACATCGGGTCCAGGGATCCTGGCTGGATTTTTGTTGTGCGGTGTTGCAATTTTGTCGCAATGTCGGATCTCAGGGCGGGGATCACCCGCACAGGGCAATCGGTCGGGATCTTCCGCTCGACGAGGGGGATCTATCCTGTTGCCGCACTGCACAGATCGCCTCGGGCGGTGCACGTGAGGGGGAGCCCTTCAACGTAAAGCTTAGGTCGGGAATGTCCTCCCACGGGCGGATTCTGGATGAAGAATGCACTCGCCGGCCCAACGGGCCAGAGGCGTGCTAAGATCTCCGGTAACTGGTTCACAGTATTTCTAGTTTGCGCGCGCGGGGCGGCCCCTAGGGGTCCCCCGACGAAAAGTACCCCGGCAAGGTCCCGGGAGAAGCCCCCAGAGCGCTCCAGAAGCGCACCAACAGGGCCCCGAGACGCCCCCGAGAGTCCCAAGAAGGGCCAAGAGAGAGTCCCAAGAAGAGCCACGAGCGTCCAAGATGCCCCCAAGATGGTACACCAAGGGTCCGAGATGCCACAAGATCGCTCCAAGACGCCCAAGATGGCCCCCACACGCCCCAAGAGGCCTCCAATAGCACTCTGAAGAGGGCCCCAAGATGCAACAAATATCGCTTTCCCTTAGGTTTTGGACAAATTTTGGTGTTTCCACCTTTTCGGCTTTCCGACGCCCCAAGACGGCCCAAGAGGTCCCCAAGATCGCCCCAAGAGGGCCCAAGAGGGCCCCAAGACGGCCCCAAGACGGCCCAAGAGGGCCCCAAGACGGCCCAAGAGGCCTCCAAGACGGCCCAAGAGGGCCCCTAGAGCGCCCCAAGAGCGGCCCCAGAGGGGGAGCACTCGGTCCTGAGAGGCCCCCAGGAAGCCCCAAGAGGCCCGTAAGGGGCCCCAAGAGGCCCCCAGGAGCCCTCAGGAGGCCCCCAAGACGCCCCCAAGATGTTCCCAAGAGGCTCTAATGGGGCCCCCACGAGGCCTCTTGGAGGCCGAAAAATGCCCCCAAGAGACCCCCACGGGCCGGCGGAATGAGCGAAGCAATTCAATAATATCCAGAATTTCAGCAAAATAATCCCACAAATATAAAAAAATGTATCCTGCTACTTTTTGGCTATCTTTGAATATTCCTCCTGTAGAGGAACAGGCCCGACTTGAACGTAAAGTGAGGGAAACATCCAGACCACCAGCACCCAAGCACTCAACGTGGCACTCCCCGCCAAGACTCGCCCCGACATATGCACCACTGGCCTTCCAAACCCAGGGCGTCGCGCCAAGCCCCCCCCAGGCGCCCACTCTGTTGTTCAGTTCCCGTGCCCGGTCGCCCGCTCTGGCTTGCCCTTCGGGGCCTCTGGGCCTCTGCCGCGGCACGCTCCCGGGCTTCTCTGCCGCTGCCGCCGTCGCGGGACCACGTCGTAAAGCCCCCGGCGCGGCGGGCAGGACTCGGCGACCCCCGACGCGCCCGACTGCCCACATGCACTGCGGACAGGGAGCGCCGGGTGGTCAACGGGGCGCCCAAGACCTGGCCGCGTGCATGAGCGGCCCCAGGTCGCAAGCTGGGCGAGGGCTGGCAAATCCGTGGCTGCTGAAACGGTCTTCCCGGAAGAAACAAACAAGTCCTCGATGTAAGACTCGGCGCGCTGATAATAGTAAACGGGCTGCCTCCTGGAAGAAAAAACGAAACAATTTTCTGGAGCTCCGTTTTCGCAGCCACTGGGGGAACCAAAAGGTACCGATACTGCCACTCCTCAGACCTCTCCTGGGGCGCGTTCTGACCAGGATTTCGAGGCGAATCCAGCGGTGGCGACGAGGACCTCCCACGAGGCCCAAAGAGATGGAAAACGACGGAAGAGTAGAGGTATGGGTACGTTTTCCTCCTCTGAGCCACGGGTCTGCCAGCCTTCGCATGGCTCCTGGCCTGGCCAGGGTGACTCCATCCGGTGCGAGGCCTGCCGCTCGCCGCGTGTGCCACGCGGCGGCCTGCGCGCCCTGGGAGTGTCCGCCCCCCTCTCCCTCCTCCTCCTCCTCCTCCTCCTCCTCCTCCTCCTCCTCGCCCTCCTCCTCCTCCTACTCCTCCTCCTCCTCCTCCTCTTCTCCTCCTCCTCCTTCTTCATTTTCTCCTCCTCCTCCTCCTCCTCCTGCTCCTCCTCCTCCTACCTTCTCCTCCCCCTCCCCCCACGCCCCTCGAGGGCGGCTGGGCACCAGAGGCTCCTCTTGAATAGGGCCCCACGGGCACACAAAAAAGTGTGAACACGCACAGAGTGCCAGGAGCTCCCAAAGCTTTCTGCAGATTTGTCTTTGGATCCTCGTCTTCACCCCTCCTCCTCGTCCTCGTCCTCGTCCTCCTCCTCCTCCTCCTCCTCCTCCTCCTTCCGAATATGTTTGCACATGCTCCGGATTATCGTTTTTTCCCCCACTTCCCATAGAGGCTCCCCCAGATCTTCCGAGGAATCGACGACGCACTGTGTCAGTGTGTGGCTCCAGGACACAAGAATACATACACACAACTAAAAATAGTCCCCATAATTTCCCATATGTTCTGGGTTTTTTTCTTCCCCCCCACTTCCCATATTTTCCATAATATTTTCCTGGGAGTGGACGATTAATTGTGTCAGTGTGTGGCTCTCCACTCCTGCCATCAAGCGAAGACCCACTCTCACTGCGGCTCTGCGGCTGCGGCCGCGCCGGGCACGTCGCGCCCTGCAGGCGCGCACGGGCGAACGCCGAAGCGCACGCAGCAGCACAGAGTGTCCGACGGCAGCTGGGCTCTGGACTGCTCCAGGCACAACTGGTGGCACTTTGTGGGCCCCGTAAACGGCAGGGCCGTTTTTTTCACCGTTTCCAGAAAAAGTGTCCCTTGAAAATGGAAACGGCAAAAAAAACGGCGACCGGAAACGGCAAAAAAACGGCTCCAGAATTGGAACTGGAGCCGGAACTGGCCAAAAAACGACGACGGAACTGGTAAAACAACGGCGTCGGAACCGGCAAAAAAAACGGCAAAACGGAACCGGTTAAAAAACGGCCCTGTCGTTTCCAGGGCCCACTAAGTGGTGGCACATCTCATCATCGAAAAGCGAAAAACGGCATAAGCATTAGCACGTATTACCTGGATCCGCGCCGGACCCCCCCTCCCCGGCGCGCGGAGCGCGCCAGGGGCGACGCCGAAGACGCCGCCAGGGGGTCCCAGCGCGGATCCAAGAAATCCGCGCGGGCCTCAAGGAGTGTATGTTTGTGCCGCTTTTGATCCTCGATGCGGGCAAGCGGGTGATCCCTCGCGCCTCACAGCTGACTAATATAGTATAGCGGTCTGCTCCTGAGACGACAATACCTGCCTTTGCTCCTGCCTGGCGCACAGAAGCGCGCGTGGGCACCCCAGAGGCGCCGTGCAGGAAGCGCCTTGCCCGAATTGGAGCACGGTACGCTGCAGGGGAGCGAAGCAGGAGGGAGGGAGCAAGATGGTGGGGGGCATTGGAGGGGAAATGACGGGGACCATGACCAAGACTGAACGCGGAGACGTTGTGTCGACCTTGGCCCCTGTCGATCTCGGTCAGCGCGAATTCGTGGATATCCTCGCGAATCATTCGTCATTCGTGGCATCAGCAGGATCCCGCGACATCTTGGTCATGGTCCACGTGTTTCCTCTCTGTAGGGGAGGAGGGTCCGGGGGAGCAGATTTCCCTCATGTGGGGAAACAGAGGGGTGCCGATACCACTACTCCCTGGACTTCTCCTGGGGTGCGTTCTGGCCAAGACCTGAAGGCGAATCCAGAGGTGGCGACGAGGGCCACCCTGGAGGCCCCAAAAAAGGGGAAGCCGAGGCAAGAAGAGCAGTGGCACCAGTACATGTTACCTCCTCTGATACTGGGAGGAGGAGGTGGAGGAAAAGGTGGAGGAGCAGGAGGATGAGGATGAGGATGAGGATGAGGAGGAGGAGGAGGAGGAGGTGGAGGAGGAGCAGGAGAAGGGAGGAGGGAGGAGAACGCGGGAGGGAGGATAAGAAGGAGAGGAGGAGGAGGAGGAGCAGAAGAGGAGAGGAGGAGAAGGAGGAGGAGGAGAGGAGGAGGAGGAGGAGGAGGAGGAGGAGGAGGAGGAGGCGAGGAGGAGGAGGAGGAGGAGGAGGGGAGGAGGAGGAGGAGGAGGAGAGGAGGGGGAGGAGGAGGAGGAGGAGGAGGAGGAGGAGGAGGGGAGGAGGAGGAGGAGGAGGAGGAGGGAGGAGGGAGGAGGAAGAGGAAGGGGAGGAGGAGGAGGAGGAGGAGGAGGGAGGAGGAGGAGGGGAGGAGGGGAGGAGGAGGAGGAGGAGGAGGAGGAGGAGGAGGAGGAGGAGGAGGAGGAGGGAGGAGGAGGAGGAGGAGGAGGAGGAGGAGGAAGGTCACGGACGCACACCTCGCCTGTCGCCGGGAGGCTCCCGCGCCGCGGGCGGCGACGGCGAGAGAAGCGCCCCCCCAACCGCCCCCCCCCCCCCCGCAGCGGTCCAGCAGGTTGTGCACGGGCCCAAGGCTCCCCACGCTGGCGCGGCCCCGCGCGGTGAGCACGAAGAGCGCGTCCAGCAGCGGCTCCTCGCGAGGAGGCGTGCCGAACCTCTCGATCGAGGGCCAGAGCGTCGAGGGAGCCGGCCCTCGAATGGACGGGGGGTCGGGGAGGGGCATCGAGGAGGAGGATCGTGGAAACCTCTGCTGGGCGTGCTGTTCTTCCCTTCCTCCTCCAGGGTGCGTGGCTGAGGCGGACTCGGGGCGCTCAGGTCGCCGAATAGTTACACGCCGCGTCCCAGCCCGCAGCCGCGGCAGGGCCTGGAACGCCTCGCCCGTTGAAGCTCCGCTGGTGCCTCTGCGCACCCTGCTGTCACGAGAGTGTAGATGGAAGCACTTCCTCCTCCTCCTCCTCCTCCTCTTTCTCCTGGCACGTTCGCTGGCTCGCTCGACAGCACTGGAAGCAAGCCCAAGCCATGGGACATCAGAGCACAGGGAACCCGATTCGTGCAAGGGATGGAGCAGAAGCAGCAGCGGCGCCGACAGAGCTACTAGTCGCCAAAAGGAACAACTCCGACCACCGCCCCAGGGATCCGATGAGCGGGTGGGATGTCCACAATGTCGGAGGTCAAGGCACGGCGCTCGACCCTGATGCAGACAGCCTTACTCCTCCTCCTCCTCCTCCTTCTCCTCCTCCTCTTCCTCCTCCTCCTTCTGCTGCTCATGTTCCTCCTCCTCCTCCTCCTCCTATTCCTCCTCCTCCTCCTCCTCCTCCTCCTCCTCCTCCTCCTCCTCCTCCTCCTCTTCCTCCTCCTCCTCTTGCTGATGCTCCCCCTCCTCCTCCTGCTCCTGCTCATGCTCCTCCTCCATCTGCTCATGCTGTTCCTCTTTCTCCTCCTTCTCCTCCTCATCCGCCTCCTCCTCCTAGTCCTCCTCCTACTCCGCCTCCTCATTGAGCTGGCGCTGTAGCCATGCATGTGGATCTGTCCTCCTCCTCCTCCTCCTCCTCCTCCTCCTCCTCCTCCGACTCCGACTCTCGAGCGCTCGATGGCCCCAGCTGTAGAGCCCACACCTGCGTGTTCGGCTGGCGCTCGCGGCCACGCGGACAGCTGCACGGCTGGCGGCAGATGCTCGGTGCCAGGCTCGCTCGCGCGCCCAGAGCCACGCGATAGGCCATCAATCCCTTCTCCAAGTCTAACTCCACCTCCTCCCTTCCACCTCCTCCTCCTCCTCCTCTTCCTCCTCCTCCTCGAGGCTGCTGCGGCGGGCTGGAGCTGGCGCGAACTGCGTCCAATGCACGGTGTCCGCAGTGGCGGTCCGGGGCAGCACAGCATCCGCGCCACGGCGGCGGCAGCGGCTGCCTCGCGTTGTCCATCCGCCAGCGGCGGTTGGCGCAAGAGGCCCTGCCTGCTTTCAGGATCGCTGAGGCGGTGGGCACGTCGGCGGACCTCTGCTGGCAAGGTGCTCGGCACGGCTCCTCCAGGCGAGGAGCCGCAGCTCAGGGCGCTGGCCCCCCCTCAGAGGCAGGCGGGTGCTTCCTTGGGCTCCTGGACTGCCAGCGCCTTGCCTCTTGCACACGCAAACACTCTCCGTGTGCAGGATCCGCTGGGGCGGTGGGACGTGTCCACGGCTCGCGCGGCGCCGCCCCAAATCTCTCGTCTTCTGGGCTCGCAGCCCAGCCTCACGCCACAGGGCGGTCTGGCGCGACAGGAGGAGCAAGAGCCCAGACGCCTGCTGGCAAGCTGGACAGCCTGTAGCCTATGGCGAAGGCCGATCAGCTGGTGGACCAGCAGATGGGCGGCCCCGCGCCCCCGGAGAGCCACGTTCCGCGCGCGGGCTGCTGGGGGCTCTCGCTGGTGCCAGGCGCGGGCAGCGAGCAGTGGCCGCCGCCGCCATCGACCCCGCATTGCGCAAGGTGCGCTGCTACACCGGCTCCTCGTCTGTGGCACGTGGGCAGCGCAGCGGGAGAATTTGACGTCGGTTCGGACGCGGCGCCGGTCAACGCACGTGGAGGCTGACCCGCCCCCAACTGCGGAACGGTTAGCTCGCAGGTGCATGCCTGGCTCGAGCGCGCGCCTGTAGCGCCGCACTGCGGATCCTATCGCTTGCCTCGGGTTTCGACCGGTCTAGGCGAGTGGGGGTTTGGTCCATGGACGGCGGCCTCGCGTACAAGCGCAGCAGCGGTGTGCACGCAAAGCTGCTGCGGCCCGCTCTACCAGAGTGGCCGCGGCGGCGCTGTGCGCAGACCACTCGCGGCGGTAGCGCAGCCTTCTGCGCGGCCCCACTGGAGGGGTGCCCGTGGCAGCCCGCGATGGGTGGCGAAGGCTTTGCCAGACCACCTGGCCGCGCGCCGCGCGTCACTTGGGAGGGTGGTTCACGATACACGCGTGTGGACTGCGCCGCCACGGTTCTGTGCTCGCGGCGCCCTGGAGTGGCCACGTCGCTGGGAGCCATGGAGCAAATGGGCCCGTGGAGGCTGGTCTGAGACGATCGCAAGATAACCTTGAGGCAGAGGCAGCCCGCACCAGCGTGAGGCTTTTCAGGACAACCGACAGGCGAATTGTCCGGCGTGCAAGAGGAAGGAAAGAAGACGAGGGCGGCCGCGCGAGGGATCGCAAGGGGAACACCACACTGCATTAACAAAACAAGTTGTCCGCACGGCTTTCCTGCATTGGCGCCGAGCCCCGTGTCCCTGATGACGACGACGCGCTGCGCTTCCGCGCTCTGCGGGCGTTCCTCGCGAGAGCATGCAACTCGCACTCCGCTCTGGAGGCCTCCTTATCGGGCACCAGGACCGGGGGGGCCAAGGAGCGCCACGGACCCGACGCCGTCGCGCAGATCGCAGATCAGGCTGCTTCTTCGTTTGACTCGCGCATGCGGGCGCCACGCCACCCGCGGGACCCGCGGCCGCGGGCGCCCTGAACTGCAACGGATCAGTCTTGCATCTTCGGTCCCGGACCCCCGACGTCATGATGTTTTCATGACGTCGACCCCCAGAGGTCTCGACCCCCTTCCCCGGGCCGGATTCGCATCCCCAGCTGTTTTTGTCACAGCCCCGAGGCCCGGTGAGGGCCCCCAGAGGCCGAAAATGGCGAAGAACCTCCCGTCGTGATTTTTCCATGGGTCGAGGGGGCCTGGGGTGGGCGATACGCTGCGCGGCGACGTGCGCGAACGACCCCCGCGCTGACACGGGCGGCGGCCCTGCCGGCCGAGGGGCCTGCCAGGGAGAGGGGCGTGCTGGCGGCCGACCCGCCGCGGAGCCTGGCCCCGGGGGCCTCCTGCGCAGCCCGCGCCGCGGCGAGCTCGGGGGACAACGCGTACCCTCTGGCACCCGCGCGCGGGTGAGCGCTCGGAGGCCCGAAGCGGTGCGGCGACGGACCGTGCGGTGCCCCCGAGCTCCCCCAGTACCTCACCGCACGGTCCGCCGGCGCACGGCTATTTGGGACCTGGGAGGCCCCAGTCGCCCGAGACGTCCTCGGATCCGAGAACGGCCCCGAGTCCCCAAGCCGTGCGGTGCCCCCGAATCCCACGGACTCACCACACGGTGTGGTCACCACCCCGTTTTGGGGGCCCCCGGGAGCGGCACCGTCTCCTGACGCTTCCGGGCAGCCCGCCGGCCCGGCCGAGAACGGATAAATAGGAGGTGAGCGGAGGCACGGAGGCAACCAGGGTTGTCCTTTTCATCGACCCAGACCCCCGACATCATGACGTCGACCCCCAGAGGTCCCGACCCATTCCCAGGGACCGGTTGTTCCTCCCGAGTCGTTCCTTGACGGTCCCGGGGCCCAGCGAGGGCCTCTAGAGCCCGAACGCGGCGCAAAACTCCGCCTTGATTTTTTTCCAAAAACGCCGGATCTCTGGGACGCTGGCTGCACCGAGTGGGTCGGGGAAGCGTTTGCGCGGCGCTGCTTCCGTCCGGCGGTGCGGCGGCCGACGGTGCTCGTGGCGGCGGGCCGCAGGGCGGCGGCGGGCCCGGGCGGTGGCCGAGCCAGGGCGGGGCCGAGCTCGAGACGCTGGCCGAGCACGGCCTTAAGCTGCAGCGTTTGCCATCCGCTCCTGCTCCCCCTCCCTACGCCTCCTCCCTGCGCCGTGGCATGGCAGGCTTGGAAGTGGGCACTGACACCAGCACCGGGGTCTGCCTCAGCCGGGGGAGGCTGATCCCAGATGTTGGTGCCGGTGGGAATCTTTCGGCCGGCTTGGAACCTCGGGTCATACCACCACCGCGGAGATCGGGATCATCCTCCCTCGGTGGAAGCACACCGCCGATATTGGTGCTGGTGTTCAACATTAGGCCTCCGATGGAACAAGTGGAACCCCGAGGGGAGCCTTGCCCTCTTCGTCCGCTTGCGGGCGCTCGAGGCCCTCCCAAGCGCCAAGGTAGCGTCGAAGGAGAAAGCTCAGGACGAAGGGTTGGTCCCTGGGGGGGGCGAACACCCAGGGCCCAGGACCAGCTTCCCCTCAGGACCCGCTGCTTCATGCCAACTCTCTTCTCCTCTCTGCTACTCCCCTCCGCCCCACTTCTGCACCTGCGCCTGGTCGTCTGAAGGGGCCAGCCGCCTCGTCCGACGCTCGACTCAGAGGCCCGCGCTTCCGGAGCAGAGGGCAGGCACCCGCACGCGTCGGCGGGACGGGCCTTGTGCGGACGCTATGCGTGCAGCTCGGTGCGCTGCGCCGATGCGGAACAAGGGAAACGTGGCACCACAACATCCAGCGCAAGGATCCAGGGGAGGTCCTCCTGGAAGCGCGCTTTCCCCCCTCCCTGCTCGAGAAATCCCCTATTCCTGGTTCGGGGAGATACCGTATACTCTCGGGGAGAAACTGTATACTCCTCGCTGGATGCCGCCCCACTGGTGGTGGTGGTATCGCTTACTTTCTTTCTTTTGGTTTGGATCGTGTCGTGCGTGTGCACAGCCTGCCCAACACGGACGCCTGATCTCGTACACATCTTTACCGAAAAGTGGTGCAGCCGAGTCAAGTAGTGACTAAGCAAACACACGCTTTGTATGGGCGCGCGACCAACTCAGAGCGCCCTCGCTGTTGCACCTCGTGCCCCAGAAATTGCGCTGCCCTTCGGGAAGCCCGCAGTTTTTGTGGCGACGCGGCACAATGTCCTCAGACAGAACCAATACAAGCCCAGAGGAGCTCCTCCTCACAACCAGCACGCGTACGAAGGCTGGTGGGGCAGCCCGAAGCAGCGAAGACCCCAAGTCGACGCATGACATGGGAGTATAAAAAACGGTTCGAACTCGGAAGAAGCGTTGACTGGCACAGAGGGCCCGAAACGAGAGAGGGAGAGAGAGACAGAGAGAGGGAGAGAGAGAGAGAGAGAGAGGGAGAGGGAGGGAGAGAGGCTGAGAGAGAGACTGAGAGAGAGAAACAACAAGAAGCGAGACAGAGATAGAGAGAGAGAGAGAGAGGGAGCGGCGGAGGGAGACTGAGAAAGAGAGAGATGGAGAGAGAGAGAGAGAGAGAGACGGGCGTCCCGTCGCAGCCGGCTACTTCGGTAGCTAGGGCCGCCAACGAACGCTTAGCGGTGGTGTCCACCTTGGGGTACGGGGGACGTTGAAACACCCCCCCCCAGCTCAAAGCGACTGGGGTGAAAGGCAGGGTGCTGAGCGGGCGATGCGCCACGTCTCTCGGCGCACCGCGGTGGAAGGGCCCAGGTCGGCAAAGCCCTGGTCGGCGGCCAGGAGACAAGACAAGGGCTCGGCCGCGAAGCGGCTTGCGGAAGCGGGGCGTTCGCCCCTAACCGCAGCCAAGCACCGATGACGCGTGGCCGCGCGGTAGATCGGGCTGGCGTGACGGGGGGCCGACAGGCTGGGCAGAGGGTCCTGTGCGGACTTGCACGACGCTGAGCAGGGCGTGCAAAGAGGGTGCCGCTCCGTCAGGTGACAGGTTGCAAACAGCGAGACGCCAAAGAATCGCGGGCTCGGTGGAGGCGTCGCACGAGCAGGCCTCGTTGGGAAATGAGAGTGCGGACTTGGTGGGTGAGGTTGGAAACCTGGTGGCGAAGACGGTCGTAGGACTCCCGTAGCTTCGCGGCCCGTCCCTGGGCCGAGTTGGGAGCGTGGGGCGCGGTCGTGTGATGCCAATAATATTGGCGAGTGGGTGGCGAGGTCGGTGCGGCGGTCGGCGCCTCGTGTGGGCATGGGCTCCGCCGTGGGGCCACCCTGGGGAGACGCCGTATATCCGAGTGGTCCTGACAAGGGTGCGTGGTCCACAACAGTGGTCGTCCAGGACTCTGCCTTGGCTGTGGGGACGGTGGCTGTATCAGGGGTGTGCACAGCTTGGGGATGAGCGGTCACCCGCTGGGCAAGGAGCCGAGCCCGGCTTATGGGCGCGGGCGGACGTCAGGGGGGAGGCGGTGTCCCTGACACGCCCTTGGCCTGAGATTGGGTGTTTGTGCAGCACTTGGCCAGCTTGGGTGGTCGCTCCATGGTCCCTGTTAGGGCCACGGTGTTCAGTACTTTGGATGGTGTCTTGTTCGGCCTTGGGCTGCAACGTCCCAGGTTCAGGCTTCACCCTGGCATTTGGCTACACTGGGGAAGCCCGCGGCCTAACCCGCCGCTAGGCGTGGGACTGGTTTGCGGAAGCAGTAGCGATCGGCCCAACCTCAGGGGGGGTCTGTGTCGCTGTCGCTGCAGTTTGGTGACCCAGGCCTTTGTGCTTTAGGAAGACGCAGTCGGCGCCCGTCGCGACAGGAGATCGGGTGAGGGTTTTCGCCCTGCTCTCCGTAGTGACGGTGTTACTTTGGAGAGCGGGTTGGTCAAGCTCCCTTCTGGGCAAGACTATGGTCGGTGCCCGAGGTACGCTCTCTTTGCGTGGCGCACTATCTTCCCAGCTGTCGAGGGACGTAGTCGCGGTGACCCCTGTGGGCAGGACTGTGGTCGGTGCCACTGGAACAGTGCCTTGGGGGAAAGAGAGAGAGAGAGAGAGAGAGAGAGAGAGAGCGAGACTGAGAGAGAGAGAGAGAAAACAAATAGAGAGAGAGAGAGAGACAGAGCAGGGAGGACTCCTCTTGGAGGCCTGGGCAGGGGCCGAGACAGACCAGAATGCAAGTTCTATTCAAATTGTTTTTAAAAACAAAAGATTCATCTGTGTAGGAGCTGCGCACGCAGCTCCCAGTCTACAACCCCTCTGTATGGGAAGCCGGCGCAGCTCAGTCCCCACAGGGGCGGGCAGAAACGCCCGGCGCGAGGGGAGCGGGACGGGCTCGCGAGGAAGGTGCCGCGTAGCACGCGTCGCAAGCCACCGCCCAACTCCCATGTGGGTGCGCGGGAGGAGGAGGAGGAGGAGGAGGAGGAGGAGGAGGAGGAGGAGGAGGAAGCGGAGGAGAAGGAGGAGAAGGAGGAGGAGGAGGAGGAGGAGGAGGAGGAGGAGGCGGAGGAGGAAGCCCATTTGGCCTCTGGCGATCTGGGCCTGCGACCGATCGCTCGGTCAGGGTCGATCGGCGCCAGCCGCCCGATCGATCCCGCCTCGCAGGCCGATCGCGAGGCCGGGCTCCGCGCGCCGCGGATCGGCGATCCGCCGCCGCCGCTGCCGCGCCCTGGCCCCCCGCCTGGCGGCTGCCGCGCGCCTCGGCGCGCCCAGGAGAGGCCCGACGCCCGAGCCCGCCTGGCACAGGCGGCAGAGGGAGCGCCGGGCGTCGGCGCGGGCCCTCCTGCGCGTCTTGAAGGCTGCCGACACGCTCAGCAGCCACCACTCGGCGCAGAAGCACCAGCGCAACCAGCAGTACGAGCTGCAGGACTTCGAGACCAGCAAGATGGCGACCAACACGAAGTCTCACGGCCATCCAGTGGGGGCCAAACCGTGGCCATGGAGGTCAAGTACACCAGCGTCTGGATCCGCTCATCGCCGACACAATGGAGGGCAAAGACAGCAGCAGCCACGGTACCAGCACCAGCACAACCAGCACCACCACAACTCCCACCACGACGAGGATCGACAGCAGCACAACGACGTCCACTATCAACAGAAGTATCAGTACGACTCCACGACATCGAGAACGAAGCGGACTCCATCAAGGAGACGCCACCAGGCCCCCGAAGACTCCACCAACGACCACCGACATCTGCCAAAGCTTACGAAACGACAATTGGAGGTCACTGACAAGATAATGCCCGCCCTTCTTTCGGAGGCCAAGGGACACGAGAGCTTTTCTCTTCCTCCCGACGAGCCAGACATACGTCGGGTATGGCACGCCACCAAGGTGGCGAGGATGGCACGTCTCGCCGACCAAGTACATGGAGCCATGCAAGCACAAGTCGACCCAACCCGCCTCATCGAGGAGCTAGCCATAGTCAAGACCATGATCCACCTGCTGGACACACCGACGGCTCGCATCGCACAATACAGATCCCAAGTGGAGTCACGGATCCAGAGACAGCAGACCGTCGAGAGCCAGCTCAATGACCTCAATAAGGAGCACGACGAAATCAAGGGCGAGATCGCATCCCTCAAGGCACTCATCTCCGAGGCCAAGAAGTATCGAGAACACGCTGAACTTTACGAAGACAGCTGTGACGGGGACGGTGAAGACGACGGGCGCCATCGAGTCAGAGGCAAGACACCACACCCCGAGAGACGACAACGACCACCATCTCGGCAACCCGCGTCTGAGCCAGCGCCTGCTCCGACCACCAACGACGGCAGCGACCTGCGGAACCTCATCGACGTGCTGACGAGGAGAGTGGATGAGCAGCAGCGCAACCACGGGATACACCAACACCATCTGGCGTTTCTCCATCATGAACGAGCCGAATCCGAACAACAAGAAGCACAGCGTCAACGGCAGACCGAGCAGATTCAGGAGCTTTCGCAACACTTACAGCACTGCCGAGTACAACTCCAGCAGGCACAAATCCAGCAGAGACAGTCGTACTACGAAGAGATCCAAGTCTTCCGACAACGCGAGGAGCGGCTCCGACACGAGGCTCACGAATCCATCACGGAGAACATGGCTCACTACCAGCAGAAGGAGGCCTACCTGCGCGACCAGCTCAGGGAGGAAGAGTCAGCTCACCTCGCCACGTTCATCAACCAGAGGAAGCAAGAGGAAGAGACTTTCCGACACCAGCTACAGGAGAATGCGGAGATCATGGTCAAACAATATCAACAACGATGCCACGAACAACAGCAGCGTCTTCTCTCAGAGAAAGCTCAGGCCCAGCAGGACATCAGCAACATCGCGAGGCTTGAACAGAACCAGCTACAGGATGCTAAGGAGCTACTTTTGGAGGAGTTCGGACAGGTCCAGGCTCAGAAGTACCGTACCTTGATGGCCCAGAGCGAGTACAACAGCGAGATCGACAAGCTTCGAGGATCTTCCAGTGACATGCAACGCTTCGAGAATGAACTCCAGGAGCAGCACCAACTCCAACTACAGGAGCACCTTCAGCAACACAGACAGGAGCGCGAGCGACTGCATTGCGAACTACGGCAAGCCCACGAGTTCGGCACAAGCATCGACGTGGACATCCTCAGGGAGCTCGACACACAACTCCAAGAACGAGACGAGGAAGACGCACGACTGCAAGCCCAAGCAGACGCTGAACAAGCACAAGTCGACAAACAGATACAAGCGGCACTCGACCTGCTGACGCCACCCCCTACCACCGACGACTCGGGCTATCAACTCTACTTCAGAAACCGGGGCAGCAGTAGTGGTGGACAGCCCAGCGGCAGCGGACAGCGCAACAGCACACCACCACCACGACCAGCACCTGTGACGCCAAACGCCACTCCTGTTGCGCGACGCCCATGCCACGACGCCGACGACGCCAGCGTGCACACTCCAATTCCAGCTGACGACGACGACCTTTGCAGCCCAACCCCCGTTGCGAGCGATGCATATCCCTTCCCTGTCCCCACGCCTTTACCGACCCCCGCCTCGCACACGCCGATCCCCACCGAGCAGCCTACGCCCATCGACTTCCACCCACCCGACCCGCAGAATGACCGACCCAGCTCGGCGCCACCACCACGCACCAGAAGGACAGACTCAACTCAACACAACCACCCATCCACTACTCTTCTCATCGACATCACCTCCGACGACGACGCACCACCACCTTCCACCCCAGTGCGCATTCCACTAGCCGACATATCCCCTACCGCACCGATGCAGCCAATCCAACCACCACCCCGCTTCCACCTCGCCACGCCAGACCGCGCCACCTCCGCTCCACCGCCCCGCACCGCCCTCCGAAAAAACGGATCATCTAGACGAGCGACCAAGCCAAAGAAAGTCCGTATCTGCGACATCGGAGACGGCTTCGCAGACCCAGGAGACCGAGTGCCAACCTTCCTCAACGACGAGGAAGTCCCTGCAGTCAACTCGCCAAAAAACTAACGAGGCCCTCACCCCCTGGGGGGCAACTGGCCCAGGGGGAGCGGCCCAGCATTACACCAGAAGACTGCCAGCGCAACGACGGCACTTCCGACTCCTGCAGTGGTTATGCCGACGACGTCAAGCGCCGATTATTTGAGCCCCTGGTGATCTACGATTCACCACGCGACACTTCACAAGTTTCACCTACCCTCTCAACAGCCAACAGAGGCATGCGCGATGGGGAGAGCGCACCTCCAGACCTGTACGAGCACGGCGACATGTGGGAAATCCACACACCGCCCAACATACCACAGCCTAGTAGTGGACCGTGGACCATCCCCTCGGCCTCTACCTCTCGCTTGGGGAGCGCGAGAAGGCTGTCTCACACAGACCCCATACTAGAACCACATACACTAGCGGACCGACCAACTACTGCCACCCGACCCCGACGGCAGCATGTCGACTCACATCCTCCACCAGCGGAAGCCCAGTCACGGTCGATCCCGACGATGACGACGCCACCGCCTACGCCTCGAGAGGAAGAATCGCTTTGTGAGTACGACACAGGGGGGGGGCAAGAACGACCAGAGCCACCAACAAGGCATCGACGCACTAGCCATTTTGGCCAAGATGGCGATCGAGACCGACAATTTTGTGACCTACTGAGCCGGCCATGTACATCAATTCCCTGCCGGCCACAACCTCCCATTTTTGACTCCCCTGAAGTTACCCAGATGCCACGCGGACAGACCAACCTGCCGAATGCGGAGAGCCACGAGGCAGCACGGCATGTCCGCTTCTCCCGCGAGGTCCACACCCGCGACCAGGAGACCGACAATATCCTCTACCACATCGACTTCGACGAGCAGGAGCCCTTACTCCAGCACCTTCGACGACTTCAGGCTCCCAGGCTTACCTTCGAATTTACCGAACGATGCCACAACGAAGTTTCAGATTACATGATGCGAACATTCCCATACCGACAGCTCCTACGAGATTCTCGCCTGCACTTATACACCGACGGCTCCAAACACCCACGCCAACATGGTCAAGACGGATGGTCAGTGGTACTCGTCGGTGAAGACGAAGAAGGTTTCTCTTTTCAAGGCGCAATAGTCGGCAAGCACCGCGACTCCACCCTCGTGGAGATCCAAAACCTCACGGACAACGAGACCACCTCGACATCCAGCGAGATCACAGCGCTCATCTGGGCGCTCGCCTACATCATCCACAAGGACATCAACCACAGGATATCGGTCCACTCCGACTCGCTGGGAGCGATCCAACTGGCCAGGATGGAGGCTTTTACTAACCGAGACGCCCACCTCGTGCAGCTACTGGTGATCATGTACTCGCACGTCAAGGAATATGTCGACCTGCGTCACGTTCACGCCCACGAGATGAACCCCTGGAACGAAGTTGCCGACGCCGCAGCCAACTACGCCCGCATCGAGGACTACCCGCACCCACAACCTGAATGGGCTAACATACTCAACGCGTCCCCTCAGCGCTGCTGGGAATTCCTACTTGACGCCGACAACCACACCAAGGACGCTTACCCATCCTTTTCACCTGGGATGCTCAAGGCCCAACGCGTCGATACTACGGCAACGACAGCCCACCTCTCGACACCAACCAAGTCCACGAAGACCTCGACAGAGATAGATGTCAACATCGCCACCTACAACATCCAGTCAGGGCGCGAACCTGGCCACGGCGCTCGACGACGCAAAGAAAAGATACACAAGCTCAGAAAGACAATGCTCAACCTGTACATGGAGGACCTCCACCTGATTGGCATCCAGGAAGCCCGCACGCCCTGGGGAGTTCGCAGCGGCAACGACATCACCAGCACGAGTGCGTACGCCTACCACGTCATCTCAGGGGGGCACGATCAGTACAACCTCGGCTGCGAGCTCCACATACTCACCAGCAAGCCGTACGGAAAGGCAGGAGCCAAGGACCTCTACTTCCGCCCCGATCAGTTCACCGTCATCGAGCACAGCCCTCGGCATCTCGTAGTAAGGATCGAAGCCCCAGGATTTCGACATACAGTCTGCGTCGCCCATGCACCACATTCTCGAGCTAAACCACACGAGAAGGATACCTTCTGGGAGATGATCGAGTGCGCAACGTCTAACCACAATATCAACATCTTCCTCATCGATGCCAACGCTCGAACAGGCAGCTTATGCAGCCAGGCAATCGGCGATCAAGGCTTCAAGCAAAAGGAGGACGACAACGGCGAACGCTTCCACAAGGTCCTGCAAGGCAACTCTCTCATAGCCGCGAACACCTTCAAAAGCGGAGGCCAGGACCACTACACATGGGACTCAGGCAAGGACGTACATAGACTGGACTACATAGTGGTTGGCCACGAGCTTTTCGACTCCATATCCCACACGTCCGTAATGTACGGTATCGACACAGAACACGACCACTCACAAAAGAACGACCACTTCCCCGTCAAGGCTAACCTCGCCTACACCGTCGAGACCGCCTACCAGCACGGCACGCCCAAGCTCGACACCGCTAAGCTCGACTCCGAGACAGCCAAGAACGACTTTCAACGACGCCTGCAGCAGATCCAACACCCCCCCTGGGAGACCAACCTCAACGACCATACCAAGAGCATCGTCGATCAGATAAAGGACGCAGCATACGCCAGCTTCAAGAAGCAGCACCATGCCCCCCGCAAGCCCTACATTACCGAGGCCTCCTACGCTCTTCTTAGATTCCGACGCACCCTCATTAAGACGATCCGCATCGTGAAAAGGAATGGAATTGGCTCCAAGAAGTCACGCAGACGGATCCGATACACCGCGCACCTCATTGCAAACCAGTCAGCATCAGCGTCCCCTGACGACGTCATCCACCTCATGGACATCCCTGGATACACTCAGCTGATGATCAAGACCATCCTCTTCATCAACCATACGGACCCCGACCATACCACGGCTCCTTACCACGACGGTACCTACGGCACGACCACTTTCACTACGAACCTTTTCGACTCATACTTGAGCTTCATCCAAGACACCGACCGCGTTCTCAGAATCCGCCTCGACCATGACCGCGACGCCCACCTTGAGAGCTTCTCCGACAATATGATATTATCAGCCGCAGGGAATGCCCCGCGGAAGGAATGGGCAAACGTGAGGGCCTTACTCACATACGGCGGCCGAACGCCTAAGAGAACTCCGACTCCCAAAATACGCCAAGACGATAACGGAGCTCCACTCACGACGCCACAAGCCATTGCGGAGCACGCCCTTCGATACTACGGCAACATCGAGAATGGCATCAACACCGACATCGAAGGCGTCGTCAAGCACTACAACAACAAGACTGCACACACCAAGCCGATACCCCACATCAACAACGCCCAGACCATCCACAACCTGACAGCCGCCCTGGCAGCCTCCAAGAAAGGCAAACGCGGCGGGCCTGACGGGAACACCGACGACATGGCACGAGCGGCGCCGCGCCAGATTGCCCGACTTCTGCACCCCATCATGATGAAGATGCAGCTGATGACGACGGAGCCCATTTCGGCGAAGGGCGGATTCTCCACCCATTTCCCCAAAGGACAAGGACAGCTTCATCTGCAGAAAGCCTACAGGGGCATCCTACTGAACAACACTATTGGCAAGATCAACAGCAAGTTCCTGAGAGGCCTCTTCCGCGACATCTTACCCGACCTGCTCATGGACACACAATGCGGCGCCGTCCCTCACAAGGCGACTGGCTTCATCACCCACACCGCCTATACCTTCTTGGACGACTGCCGTGCACAGGCTCGCACGGGCAGCATACTCTTCCTGGACTTGAGAGAAGCATTTCATTCGGTAATAAGGGAGTTCATTTTCCAGCTGCCGACTCAGGAGGACGAGCTCGAAGATGTCATCGACAACATCGAGATTCCCATATGCCTCCTCCCCTCCCTACGACAACGGCTTCGCTGTCCAGCACATCTCAACGCCCACGTCGACGACCCCCACCTCTGCGCCCTCGTGGCCGACCACCACACGGCCAACTGGATGACCGCCAAGGGCACCGACGCATACGTGATCCCACGCACCAGTACCAGGCCAGGGGTGCCATACTCCGACGCGGCCTTCAACATGCATTTCTCCCTAGTGCTTCAGGCCATCGCCGACGACGCTGAAGGGGCAGAAGATGGTGAGAGTGGCCACCACATCCGCCCCTGCGACAACCCGCTCTTCTCTACGGCCCCGCATCAAGGCGGCAAGCTGACTAACATGTCCTTCGTCGACGACCTCGCCGACTTCAACTCGACCACCAGCCACTCCGACATCATTGACATTACGAAAACTTCAGCCGAACGTCTATGCCGTACCGCCTTCACCTATGGGCTCAAGCCGCACCCAGACAAGACCAAGGTTACCATCTCCTTTAACGGGACGGGCTCCAACGTCGCACGCAGCAGGCTTGCACAGCAAAACATTACGTCAATCCAGCTGAGCATCATGTCGATCTCGGTCCAGATCACAGACCAGCACCGACTCTTAGGCACTATCCTAACCAACGGCAGCATGGGACCCGAGGTACAGAATCGCATGCGACGAACCGAAGCTTCGGCACGAGCTCTTGAGAGGCAAATCCTAAGACGACGACGCCTACCCCGCAAAACGAAGATCAAGTACGTGCACGCCCTCTCGACCGCCTCATTGACCTTCAACCATCACGTCTGGCCAACACTGACCCAGACCGACCACCAGCGCATCTCCAACGCCTACTCGAAGCCCTACCGCACGGCAGCTGGACTACCCAAGACGAACTCGCAGCTTCATCATTTCACGGCCACCGAAGTAGTTGCTTACACAGGCATCCCCGACTTCGACCACCACCAGTCTGCTGGAAGGTTGCGATATTTACCACGGCTTCTACGACACGCTCCTCAGCAGCTCCTCCAACTGCTTGACAACCAGCGACGGAGGAAGGGCTCATGGACATACATGCTTTTCCAGGACTTCGATTTCCTGCGCACATACCTGGACGACCAGCGCTGGCCCACGACAAGCAAGCTCGACCCCGACGTTTTTGCATGGGCTCGCACCACGCCGAAGCACTTCACCAACTCCGTCAACCTGGCCGTCACAAACTACATCCGCGCCTTTAAAGACCACGCCCACGCCGACAAGCTCACCAAGGTGCTCAGACCCGACGGCCCCACGGGTGCGGACACTACGCCATCACGCGACAACGGCGCCTACAACTTCATCTGCTACGAGTGCGGAATCGTAACCAAGACAAAGCAGGGCATGGCAATACATATCGGACGTGAACACCGACGACCTGAGCACCCGCGAAACTGGGCATCGGGTACGTCGTGCAGAATATGCCGCCAGAACTTCCACTCCTTCGCCAAGCTAGTGAAGCATCTAACCACGGTCGCCCGCTGCCGGAGGTCATGGCACATGCGGTACTTACAGGGACCTGCCCTCACGGAGGAGGACGTGGCCAACAACCAGTCGATCTACGCGACCAGCATAGCCGACAACAAACGCAGAGGACGCCCCGAACTATACCACCATATCCCTACCCATGCATCCGACGTCACTCCCTTACCATCACTCGACCTATCACCTTCACCACCGCCATTCTTCCCGACAGTACCTGAGCTCACACCACCACCACCAGCCCACCACCCTCGAACACCGACCAGAAACAGATCTCTTCTTTACCTCACCAACACCGAGAGACACCCGAACGATCTGTTGGACATCACGGACCAACGACTATGCTACAAGGGAATGGTGATGGAACGAGTTATCATGACCTTCGACGACCTCTACTCTGTCGACCACCCATCACAGTACGACGCCCTCGACTCGATCCACCAACACATTCGACAAGGCGACTTCGCGGGAGTGATGATCAGCCTCTCATCCAGGACGTGGACAGACCAAGGCGAGGGCGACCAGCATGACAGAAAAGCAGCATCTTCAAGAACAACCACAGAACCCTGGGGCAGAGTAAGCCTTGGAGGCGAGGCAGCCGAACGACGACTGGTCGCGAACCACCATGCCCGCCTCGCCATCCACACATTCCACGTCGCCCACGTCGCCGAAGTACCAGCACTACTAGCACAATCTGCAGCCCCAGCAGGGACAACGACGATCTGGAACACTGAGATGATGTTCTACGCAGTGGAGAATCTCGCTACGAAGAGACCGACCATGGTAGACGTCACCAGCAGCATCTATGCAGTATATTACGGCTCCTCCGACGAGCACGACAATCCAATCGACAATTTTGTCGCATCCATCGCGGGCAGCCCGAGCTGATCAGAGTTGGCCGTAACATGGCCCATGAAGATCAACAAGAGCGCGCACCACGGCAAGACCGCCGTAGCGCTCACGGAGACCGCCAACAACATCAGGGACGCCCCCTCTAGGGAGAGGGGGGGGAGGACACGGTCCAGGTCTGACCTGGGCCGCCACCCGCGGGCAGGCCGTCATGGGGGTAGCTCTCTTCCCCTCAGGCCTTCAATGAGCCCCCTCCCCTCTCTCCACTTTGCCACCCCCATGTGGCCTCTCCCTCCCCCTCCTTAGCGGAACTTTTGACCCCCCCTCCCCGGACAGCGTTTGCCTTCTGGGGTCTGTTGTGGGGCGTAAGCATGCCTTGTATTTGTGTCGTCCTTTTTTCCCCCGCCCCTTCCCTGGCGGAGCCTTGACGGCTCCTTCCCTGGGCCTTCCTGGCGGGGGTCGTGTAGGGGGGGTGCTCCCCTCCAGCGCGCCTTCGGCGCACGCGCGGGCACGCCCGCGCGGACGGCTGCGTCCCGCGAGGACATGGAGCCGCGAGCGAAGCGAAGCGAAGCGAAGGCGGAGGAGGAGGAGGAGGAGGCCGCCGCCCCGTGCGGCATGTCCCCCGGGCTGGGCGGGCGCTCCCTGGGGCGTCGCTTCCTGGGGGGGGGGGCGACAATAACCGGGGGAGAGCAAATCGGTGCACTTTTCGGGGCCCAAAACCAGACCCCCTCGAGCCATGAAAAAATCACGACGGGACGGAAATCGCTATTTTCGGCCTCTGGGGGCCCTCGCCGGGACTCGGGGCCGTCAAAGAACGACTCAGGATGAGAAACCGGTCCTGGGGAAGGGGTCGATGCCTCTGGGGGTCGAGGTCACGAACAAATCATAACGTTGGGGGTTTGAGAAGGCTCCCCTTGTGAGCCCTGAAAAGACGCCTCTCGGGTCCTCAAGGGCTCTGTTTCTGCAGCCATCGCTGCCCTCCCCCATTATTTGTCGCCCCCTATTACTCGAAGCCCAAAGCCTGCGGGGCGGGGGTCGCTTGGGGCTCCATGAGCCGATTGCATGCTAATTGCTGGAACTCCGCCCGACCATGAGGCCGACAGGGCCGAAATCCTCTCTGGCACGAGGTTCAGAGCAGCTGTGTGCTCCTGATTACGTACGGGGGCGTCTCGAGTTTGACGATGCGGGGTCCCCGAATGCCTGGACCTTTTCCCCAGGGCCAGCTCTTCGTCCTGAGTTGTTTTTGACGGTCCCGGGGCCCGGCGAGGGCCCCCCGGAGGCCGAAGAAGGTCAAAAACATGCCGTCTTGATATTCTCGAGACGGTGGAGGTCTGAGTTCGGAGGAAGAATATAAACGGCAGGGTCCTGGTGAGCTGGGGGCCCCCAGATGCCAGAGCTCCTGAGCGCCCCCCTTGGGGACCCCCAAGAAGGGAGGCTCCCAGAGGCGCCCCGAGAGAGCTCCAAGAGAGTTTGAAAGCGGCCGGGAGCGTGAATCAATGGGTGGCAAGCCCCACGACGGCCCAGGACAGCCCCAAGAGGCACCGAGATCGACCCACAGGTGCCCCAAGGCCCAAGACTGTCCAGGACAAGCCCCGAGGAGGCCACCAAAAGGCCCCCACGCCCCATGAGAGTCCCCAACCACTCCAAAAGCCAGCTGTTGAATGAGACCTTCTCGTTGTTTCGCTTCCGCTGCGCTTCACAGCCATCAAGAGAGATCCAAGATCGCCCAGGCCGGCTCCAAGTGAAGCCCATCGCCCAGGAGCACCCACAGAGAACCCAAAGAGAGCCCCAAGAGGGCTTGGAAGGGCCAGAGCGGCCCAAGAGCGAGGATCAAGGGTAGCAGGACCCACGATTGCCCCAACACAGCCCCAAAAGGGTAACCCAAGATGGTCAAATACACACCTGAAAAGGCCACCCGAAGGCCCCCTAAGTTACCCCCAACATATACGTGAATATATACAACTGTATTATTACATGTACATGTACACAGATGTATGTATGTATGTGCATGTATGGATAGATGTGTATATAAATACACGTATATGTGGTTTGTAAGTGGGTTGGGCTTCCTTGTCTTTTGGCTTCCGATGCGCTTCAAAGGCCTCCCAGACAGCTAGATGATTCCAACTGAAGCTCTCAGCGACTCCCGTAAAGCTCCGACGACCCCTCAGAGCGCCCCGGCAACACACGAAAGAGGGACCCGAGAGGGCCCCAAAGCGGCCCGTGAGTGAGGATCAATGCGTAGCAGGCCCAAATCGTGCCCCAAGGTGGCTCCAAAGGGTTCCAAACGAGGCTTCCAGGAATGCTGCCAAAAGTGCAAACTCCCATTGAACTTGTAAGTGTTGAGTGGTCTTGGTGATTTTCGCCATCTCCCTTGGCAGACTCTGGTGACACCTCGAACCCGACTCCAAGATAGCCCATCTCCCCCCCCTCGGCCTCGCTCTGGTCGGGATCCTACGGGTCCCCGATTCTTCCCTCGAATGGCATTCCATCCCGCATCGTTCCCTGGATCCCGCCCCGGGCCAATCCGCTTGAACCCTCAGCTCCATCCCCTCGTCCCTCCACCGCCCCCTGCCTCCCCATCCGCCTCTCGGGACTTCCTCCTTTTCTGCTGCGCCTCCGCTCTCTACCCCATCTCCCTCCCTGTTCCCGTTCTCCCCTTTCCTCCAAAGAACCCCATTTCCAACATCCACCTCCGTCTCTGCATTTCATCTCCCTACGTCCGCCTCCCTCCATCCCCCTCAAGCGTCCCCCAACCTTCCCATGATGCCTCCGCCTCCGTCCCCCCTCCCTGCGCATCCCGCCTCGCCGTCGTTCTTGCCTCCTCCGTCCCCACCTCCTGTCTCCTCCACGTCCCTCCTCTGCCACCCCACCCCTTGCTCTCTCCATGCTAAAACATAGGTGATCCTCCCCTCCTGCTGCCCGCGCATGGCAAAACCACAACAACCAAATCAGATGAACAAAAGTCGGGAATCGTTACAAGAAGATAGGCTCCCAACATCTGCCTACCGAGTGGGCCAAGAGCGTGTTGGACCCTCTAAGCGGATAAGCTTCGGAGCTTGGGCAAACACGGGAACGGAAAGAGCGCTTCAGGAACTCGCCCGAGAAAGCTCATGGCACCATTCGCTCAAAGGGGCATTGGCGTTAAGATCTTCTTCACGTCACCGATCGCTCTTGTGAACCTTTGTGTGAAGACATGTGTACGCAACCATTCGCTCTTGGGTGCCTTGGTGTGAAGAAAAGGGTACGTGACCGCACACTCTGGGGAACCTTGGAATTGAGAGCTGCTTACGTAGCCGGTTGAGAGCTGTTTATGTCACTGGTTGCTCTTGCGAGCCTGGGCATTCGGAACTTTTTGGCCCACTGCTCGCTCTTGGGAACATTGGTGCTCGAAGATGTTTGCGCCACCGACTCGTGGGCAAAGGGCTTTCCGGTCACCTGGTGCTCTTGGGAGCTGGTGTCAAAACCGCGTCCGTCCTTGGGCCGTCCGGAGGGGCGCCCTCTGGGGGCTCAATTGGTTGACTCGGGGCTCTCTTGAGCAGGTCTGGGAGCCTCTTGGGCCGTTCTGGGCGGCTGAGCCGACCTTGGGGCCCCGTGGGGGTTCTTTCGGGCCTTCTTGGGGGCCTCCGGTGGCACTCGTGGGACTCTCTTGGGTGCCCCGTGGGCCCCGCTGAACTCGTCTTGCGGCGTCCTGTGGCCGTCGCGGGGCCCACTTGGGCCGACTGGGGGCTCTCTCGGGAGCCTCCGGGGCCCTCTTGGCGCAGCCGCGGGGGCCTCCGGGAGCCCTCTTCGGCCGATCTGGGCCCCCGAAGATCTTCGAGGCGAGGACCCAGTAGACAGTGAACATCTTTGGGGGGGCCTCCTCGGGCTGTCCGGGGGGTCCTCTTGGGAGGCTCGTGGGCCGTCCGCGGAACCTCTTGGGCCGTCTTGGGGTGCTTCGGTCGGCTTGGGGCCCTCTTGGGTTCTCTTCGGGGTCTCCTGTGGCACCCGTGGGCGTTCCTGGGCGCCCCTGGGGGCACTCTTCGGTCCCTCTTGGGGCTCTCTGTGGCCGTCCTGGGGGCCTCTTGGGCAGTCGAGCCCTCAGAGCCGTCCTCGGCCGATCTGGGCGCGACAAGGCGAACACCCAACAAAAACAATGGGACCCCATAAGGAAAATCAATTACTTCTTGCCTCCTCGGGCTGCGTGGGGGGTCCTCTGTGGAGGCTCTTGGGCAGTCTGCGGAGACTCTTGGGCCGTCTTTGGGAGCTTGGGCCAACTTCGGGCCCTCTAGGGGCCCTCTTTGGCACTCGTGGCGGCTTCCTATGGCCCTCTGGGCGCTAACTTGGGACCAAGCGGGGCCTCTCTGGGCCCCTCTTGGGGCTCACTTGGGCCGTCTTAAGGCCGTCTTGGGGCCCTTGTTGGGGGCCTCCGGGGCCGTTTTGGGCCGCTCTTCGCGCGAGAGGGCGAGACCCGTAAACACAGTGAAGCGCCCGAGGATCACCACTGCTTGGCCTCCTCAAGCCCTCTTGGGCGTCTTCTGGAGTGCCTGTTGGCCCGTCCAGGAACCCTCTTGGGCCGTCTCGAGGCCATCTTCGGCCACCTTCGAACGGTCTTGGGCGGCCTTGGGCTCCCTTGCAGCGCTCTCGGGCCGTCTGGGAGCTGTCTAGGATTAGGTCGGGCATGTTCTCCTACCAGCGGATTTGTGACGAAACATGAAAGGTAATCAAATAAGTATTGGAATATATCTTTAGTAACAAAAAAACGTCCTCAGAGCTTTGCCTCTCTCTCTATATACACATACATACATACACTTGAATTTTCTCCTGTAGAGGGATAGGCCCGACTTACATCGAGGACCTCTCTGAGGCCGTCTGGGGTGGCATCCCCAGACCCCCGACGTCATGATTTGTTCACGGCGTCGACACTCAGGGGTCTCGACCCATTCCCTGGGACCTGTTTTTCATGCTGAGTGGTTTTTGTCACGGCCCCGAGGCCGGGTAAGGGCCCCCAAAGGCCGAAGACAGGGAAACACCTCCCGAGGTGATTCCTTCATGGCTCGAGGGGGTCGGGGCTTGGAGCTGTGTCCAAGACCTCTCTGAGGCCGTCTCGGGAGGCATCTGCGCCCGTCTTGGGCGCCCCTTGGGCCGTCTTGGGGGGTGGGCGCGCGTGTGACGCCAGGCCGGTCGCGCTGCGCCCCTCCCCCGGAACCCCTCCCCAAAGGGCTCCGCCCCACCAGCACGTCATCTCTCGTACCCATCGGTCGTTGAACAGAGGTATCTCTGGAGCCCCAAGTTCCAATATACTTTAAGCGGAGGCGAGTGGCTTCACATCTTCCGTCCTCTTTGGGGGGGCGGGTGGACACGCAATCTACTTTCAACCGCTTCCTACTTCATGTGTCGACATATTTCTTCTGACCGATGGGTACCCTCCATGGGCCCTGCATAAACGACCAACTCCTTGTTGCCTTTCCTTGCCGGTTCCGGCGCCGATGTTGTCCCGGTTCCGTCGCCGTTGCTTGGCTTGTCCCCATACTGGTTCCGACTCTGGAGCAGTTTTTTGTCGCTTCCAGCTTCAATTGTTGACCGTTTTCATGGTCAAGAGGCGCACCTTCGAAAACGGTGAAAAACTGTTACAAACGGCTCTGCCGCCTTCGGTGCACACGAAACTCGTACCTCGCTCTTTCCGTCACATCCGCGGTAGCTCCGAGAGGACCCCCAAGAAAGCACAAGAAAGGCATGCTAGAGTCAAACACACGCAAAGAGCAGGGCAAGACGAACAGCACATGGGCAACAATCTTCAAGATAGCCCCAAGCCTGCACAAGAACGCACTCGAGAGAACTCCAAGGCGGCGCTAAATCAGCTCACAAGCGTCTCCGGTTGGTCATTTATGACCTCAGGCGTTGCGAACTCCTTCCTCATCAAGTTGAAGGGCTTCCCAGACAGAAAATTGGTGGGATCGCGCTCGGTTGGGTGTGCCATGCGTTAGCGCTGGCAATTTTCCCCCCACGCAGGGTTCACGCGACAGCTCAGGAAATATGCCGCCACCCGACCCCCTCTCAGCTCCCACGGGCACGCAAGCAAATGGCAACGATGATGCAAGGTGGGCCGGCGGAGTGCGACAACCGACTGAATGATCGTGCGTGCAAGAATTTCTCGGGAAGCATGTCACCCTCACGGTGTCATGCTCCTCCTACCAGTGCGAGCGGATCCGAAAGAAGCCAGGACAGTACAGGCATCGACGACCTGCCGACACGCCCTCCTATTTAAACAAGAGCCAGTGTAGACATTGGCTGCCAAAACGTCACGCCTAGGCCAAAATGCTGTCTTTGAGCTCGGTGCCCGTACTCGTCTGCTCTAGAGTATCGTCTACTAGATAAGCGCCCGCTGCTGCCAGTGCTTCTGCGGATGCGGCCACGATGAACATTCTAGGCAGCGCCTGCGCCAAATCTATGCTCCCTTCGATGAGAGCAAGGGTAAGAGTGCAGATCTGCTGACCGAAAGTGGAGGCACAGTTGAGAAACGACATATTCAAGGCGATGCTCGAGGGCTTACCCTGCGACTCGTCGCGCTTGCTGAACGCCGCGACGATGCCGAACGGAATGGCGCTCGCGCCCGCGAACGGCAGACCACTGAGATTGGCGCAGAGCAGGGCGAAGGCGCCGTCGTGCTGCACGAAGAACGCGGCCGCCGTGCTCGCCACAGCGCCAGCGCAAATCAGCGCGGCGTAGATCGTCATCGGGCGCATCCCGGTCTGGCGGAGGAGCGACATCACTACCAGGGAGGACGCCAGAACAAACACCGCCTTGCTCTGCCCCGCGTGGGCAAACTGCCTGAGGTTGCAGCGGCAGGCGGGGACCAACTCGGGGGGGAAGCCTCGAGTTGGAATCGGCGATGCATCGCCGATTAGATCGGCGAGGGGCCCCCGAGGCGGAATTTCCGCACGCTCCTGGGCGGGGCGGCGGACGGGCGAGGAAGGAGCGATTGGCGATGACTGGGCGAGTGGGGTCGATGCACCTCCCCCTGAGCCCATCCCAGAGCGCACATAGCTTGTCCTCCTCCCCCTCCTCCTCCCCCTCCTCCTCCTCCTCGTCCTCCTCATCCTCCTCCTCCTCCTCCTCCTCCTCCTTTCCTTCCTCCTCTGTCGTTGCCTTGGGCTCTCGGTGCTGGGGTGACAACTCGGCCGTTCGGGAAGAGCCCGGCACGCTGCTGGCGCCAGCGGCGAGGCGCTGCCGCTGGAGGGCCAATGTCGGGGGCTGGAAGACGGCCGAGAGACTCTGAACACCCCCGAAAGACTCGAGACCTCGAAACCTCGTCCCCTGAGCCTATATGTATATGCACATATATATGTGCATATCTATGTATATATATATGTATACACACACATATATATATATATATATATATTCAAAACATACACACAAGTAGCCAGCATAAGATGCTCAACAAATCGTCCCCAGACTATTTTTCGCTATTCTTGAAGACTCCTCCTGCTGGGGGGCAGGCCCGACTTAAATCTAGGACCTCTCTGAGGCCGTCTGGGGTGGCATCCCCAAACACCCGACGTCATGAGTTCTTCACGACGTCGACCCCCAGAGGTCTCGACCCGTTCCCCGGGAACGGTTTTCCATCCCGAGATGTTTTTTCTCACGGCCCCGAGGCCGGGTAAGGGCCCCCAGGGGCCGAAAACGGAGAAAGACCTCTCGTCGCGATTCTTTCATGCCTCGAGGGGGTCTGGGCCCCTATCCCCCCCTTTGAGCAGGGACCGACCGTCCGGGCATTCCTATAGTCCTACCACGTAATGTGCTTAGAATCCAACAATGTTCTAAGAACGAGAACAATGTTCTTAGAACATAGGCCCGATGTGTCCAAACAACACAATATCGACCAGACATGTTCTAAGAACATTTCGTTTAAACCAAAAAAGTCTTAGAACATTGTTTGGTAGGGCTTTTGTTAACGGGCGACGAACGGTATAAAATAAACATTTTCGCTGTCGGGGGCGCCTGTCCCAGGGCGGCTGGAAAGTTTATACCCTTACGGTGGCACCGTAGGAGTATAAACTTTCCAGCCGCCCAGGGACAGGCGCCCCCGACAGCGAAAAAGTCTATCTTATACCGTTCTTCGCTCGCTGATTTTGGCGAGCCAGGACGCTTCTTGGGCTCCCGAGTTATCCGGGGTAACTCGGGTCCGGGGTAACTCGGGTTTGGACTCCCGAAAAAGGAACCCGAGTTATCCCTGCTGAGATCGACGGGGTGGATCGTAAGTGCTTAGGGGGGTTCTATGTGGATAGCAACCCACATGTAAGTAGGATGTACCCCACTTAGAAGTGGCCTATGTCCCCCTATCTACTTACTACCCAACCTTACGTGGTTAGGGTAGATACTAAGTGGGGCCCCGCGGGACCTTGGACTTAGGTCCACTTCGTAAGTAGGTTAGCCTAAGTGGGCTAACCACTTAGGGGACTTAGGCTAAGTAGGTTAGCGAGGGTTGCTAAGTAGGTTAGCGGGGTCAGCTAAGTAGGTTAGGAAGGGTGTCTTCTACTCCCCCCCGCCGATCCTGGAACCCAGAAGCTCGTCCTCTTCCTTCCCCTCCCCCCTCTCCTTATCCTCTCTCTTCCCTCTTCACACCTCCTCCACCTCGTTCGTATGCGCTCGACGGGGGCTTATGATGTCCTTGGGCCGTCGTCACCCACAGGGGCAAAGGGGGTACGAGGAGGAGGAGGAGGAGAACATAGCCGTTTTGGCTCAGACTTCGAGGCTTGGCGCTTTGGAACTTTCACCCACTCGCTTTTTCGGCGGTGCTGTGGTGGCCATGGCTATGGCCACGGCCATACAGGAGGCCATCGATGAGGTCAGACCCATCATCATGGAGGTGATCGCTCAGCACGAGAGCTCGGGCGATGATGGAGACACGAAGCAGATCATGGTGGCAGCAGATGGTATCCTGAAGCTTCTAGTTGGCAAGAAGCTCGCGGTCGAGAAGGTGTGGATCAAGGTCCTGGAGTGCGGCACCCACGGAGCAAACAGGTTCGGAGTGGGACTGGAGGTCCCCGACGTGCATGAGCTGCTGAAGGTGATCATTTTGGGCGGCTTCAGGTACGACAAATGCGCAGGGGCGGTCTGCTTTGAGATGCCGCCGACGGGCAAAGCTAGGGAGGCCCAGTGGGATTTCAACCTGAAGCTCACTTCGTCCAGCGGCGGGTACCTGCCACCGTTCGGGGCCTCCGAGCTGAAGTACCTCACCGTGACCTGCTCGCACACCGTGACCTGCTCGGCGAAGGGCTGCATGAAGGAGATCTTGGACGACCGTGGCCACATCGCTCGTGAAAGGGTGTTGGCGATGTGTTCCTCCTACGATCAGCCCCTCCAGCAGGGTATGCCGTGGACTGTGATTCGCCACGAGGTGGATGCGGCCATTCCTGAGTTGGCTTCTTTTCTTCAAGAAGCCGACAACGCCAACCACGGCGCGAACCGACAGCAGAGCAAGATGCAGACGCTCCTTCAGATCCACAAGCGAGCGGTGCACAACGAAAAGACGTTTGGCGACTGCAAGTGGGAGTGCATCGAGCGCCAGATAGAGAGGACGCGGCCGCATCTCAAAGGTCAAGTTGGAGATCTATGCAAGTTCGTCGAGGTCTACTCGGGCGGCGACGATGGGGTCCTGCTGAAGGAGCTCCACGAATTCGCCCAGACGGTGGGCGACCGCCGACGAGAGGTTCACGGCACCACCTTCGGCATCCTTGCGAGGATGCAGTTCCTGAAGGGCCCCGAGTACATGACCGCCTGCATCAAGGCGTGCCTCTGCGCGCCAGACCAGCACGTTCGAGAAGGGACTGCGAAGCTCATCAACAGCACGGACTTGGGTGCCATCAACGCTTCCAAGAGAGCGGACGTCTCGGCATTCTTGGCTACGACGGCGGCGGCCAAAGCCTACCTCAAGCAGCTCCAGGGCGTGACGGACTCGGCGAAGGCTCGGGTGTTGGGCAACATGCAGGTGCGCTGCGTTATGCTGATCCACAACAAGCAAGTGAAGGCCACCAAGAAATACACGAGCATCGCAGACATCAAGGATAAGTTCCTCGACGAGGTTACGGAGCTGATCAACGACGAGACCGTGGAGCTGCCGTGGGCGAGATCGGCGGCATCATCGACGAGTGGTCCATCGCCGACGCCACCTGGGCGTAGCCTGGTCCAGTTCCGCGACTCCGCCGAGGGCATGCTGCTCGACTGCAAGGCGCTAGACGACCTCGGCTTCAAGGTAGGCGGGATCGTGCGCCTGAAGACCGACACGAAGAGCAAGTACGCCATCTTCAGCATCACCAGCGGGGCGGTGGTGCTGGCGCCGCTCAACACCGACAGCGAGCCCCCCGCGGCCCCCAAGAAGCGCGCCAAGAAGCGCAAGGTCGACAGCGACGGCGCCGAGGAGGAGGTGGAGGTGCCGAAGCTCAACGTCACCAGCAACGCGCTTGCCGACGAGTACGAGGCCGCTCGTGCTAATAAAAACCCACACGTCCCATCCACCTCTCCTCCCTCTGCCTCAAGCTTTTCAGGTTTTTAGATTTTAGGTTCCGTTCGTCCTCCTATTTTTAAGGTTTTTCGCAAAAGTTTAGCTTCCGTTCGTCATCCTCCTCTTCCTCCTCCTGCGTCTCCTCCTCGTCCTCCTCCTCCTCCCCCTTCCTCGTCTGCCTCGCTTTCCTCCGCGCCCGTCCCGAGGTTGTGCCTGAGAGCACGGTCGTGCGCATCCCAGTGGCCGACATCATGAAAGCCGACTCGCACAAGGACGCCAAGAGCGAGAAGGTTCGCTCCCAGGCTCCCAGCTGCCCCCGACGGAGTAGGAGGATGAGGAAAGGTGGAAAGAGGAAACAGGAGGAAGAGGAGGAGGAGGAGGAGGAGGAGGAGGAAGTGAAGGAGGAGGAGGATGAAAAAGAGGAGGAGGAGGAGGAGGAGGAGGAGGAGAAAAACGACGGAGGAACGATAGGTGTGCATGTGTACGTGAATGTGTGTGTGTGTATTTGTGCGTCTGCGTGTGCGTACTTATTTGCTCACCCTCGGTACCCTCGGCCAGGTTCGTCTGGCCCTCTCCGACGCCTACGCGTCGACCTCCGACGACGTCCTGGTGACGATCGTCACGGACAAGAAGGCCCGCAGCGTTGAGAGCGGCCAGGACTATAGTAAGGGGAAACTCGTTCTGGTGCCGATGAGCACAACAATCGGCATCGGGTCTAAAATATCAAATGGGTCTGTAGAGGTTCCGTACACGCCAGCCCTTGACGGTGATTTGAAGGTGTTTATTGTGCCGCGTTGCGAGCTTCAGGATGCCAAGCAAGTAGGTCAGTTTGTGGTCCCTTTCTGGTGTGTGCAGCCTTCAGACACGAGTTCACCTAATATGATTCGCAGCACTCTCAAGGTGGTGCTGAGCACCGCCGTTGGCACCAAGCGTTTCGAGAAGGCTGTGGATATCCCTGTGCTGACGAATTCGAGGGCCATCAAAAAGGGTGAGGAACTTTCGCTCAAGGCCCCATCCCAGCAGTCGCCGAAGGCGTCGAAGCACTCTTAGCTCAGAGCCACTGCTTGCTAACAGCTCTTCTGCTAGGCTGTGGGTGTGCATGTAGCTGCAGAGCGCTAGTGACAGGATGAGGGCGAGGGAGGAGGATGAGGGCACTAGAGGAGGAGGATTAGCAGGATGGATCGCAGCAGTAAGGAGACGGCGCCCGCCATGTGAGTCATGGCGCAGCATAGCATGCACTTGCCGTATAATATGCAGAATCGAGCTTCAGTTGCTGTGCCGAACCTTTTACAGTTCGCAAGTGTTCGTTTCGCTGGCCACGGCGACCACTAAAGATGTACGACGCCCGTGTACGGGCAACGCTCGAGCTCTTACGCGTGAAAAGGTGTCTCGGGTATCTCTATATAAGGCTTGCGCCATTCCGCCGACCCCCAGAAGGAAACATTGGATCGCAACTCGGACCAAGGGAGGGGATGCCTTCCTGCATACGCCTCACCGAGAGCTTTCTAGGTGTGCCCGAATCGTCCCGAACGGTCG